CCCCCCCCGCCCCCCCTGGGGCGGGGCCCCCCCCCGCCCCCCGCCTCTCCCAACCCGGCCCGCCCCCCCCCCCGCTCGCGCTCGGCTCTCCGCCGCCTGCCACCTCGTGGACCCCGAATGGTTCGTTATATAAAACCAAACAGCCACCAGGCATATGTGCCTGTTCTTCACCTGTGCCGGACACCTTGGGGACCTGACTCAGAAGCCTCGTGCAACTCTTTCTTTCTCGTCCCTTCTGACTGCTGCACCCACCACCAGCACCTGCATTCCTGGTCCACCCAGCAGCCAAAGGAGGCTCCCTGGGCTCACTGCCCCGCGGTTGCTAAGCCTCTCTGGTCACTCCCACCAGTAAGAAAAAAGAAGTGATCAGAAATATTTTTCACACACAAAGACATAGACCAGGAGAGGAGCACACATTTATGTGCAAAATGGCTCAGACACCAAGACTGAGACATCACATCAGTGCAGCTCAGAAATGGTTAAAAATAACCCAGTGCTGGAGAACTGAGAGGGCTTTGGCATCTTCCCCACATTCCTTATCAGGATCCCTAATTCCCTGCCATCTCCCAGTTCCAAGACACGAATTGCCTTCACCTCCAGAAGAGAGGTTCTAAGCCACCCCGCTCCCATTTACCTGCCCCTTCCTCAGGCTCTTTACCGGCTCCTGGGCTGCTGGTGATCCCAGCTGCTGGGGCTCTATCAATGAGTGTCCATTCAGGGGCACCCACTCCCATCCCTTCGCTGCACCCCTGACTGCCCCCCATCCCATATATCTACTGCAAGAAGGCAGGGTGGAAATACCAAATAAAGAAAAAATGCAGCTTGCCCTGTCTCCAGGTTTTCAGTCCAAACAGAACAGCCCCGGGCCTGGCAGAGACATCTTGTGTAGAATGGAAGGTGGCCTGTGGGCTGAGTAGGCGTACGGACCACAGCCACTCACCTGCATCCTCCAAGCCCAGCTGGCTTCTCAGACCAGGAACCTTAGGCCTCACAGAGCAACTGGCTGGAAGCTGGGCCTCCTGCCTGATTCCACTGCAGGAATCAATCATCAATAACCGGACT